ACTAGCTAAGGGGAACATGGTTTTTCTCTAAACATGCCAGTTTCACTAAATCATAATGAAAATAAATTGTTGCGGCGAAAGTATTTGTGTCTGGGTATTTTTCTATGGGGGTGTTTGAATGGACATGAGAAGATAGCTTTGTCGACTGGCGGCCCCCAGGGGGGGAGCCTTCTCTGTGGGGGCACCTACTATCTGGAACGAGCTCCCCCCCGAGATACGGAGGATTCCGGATCTGCGTACCTTCCGTCACACGCTTAAGACATTCCTATTCCAGCAAGCCGGCCTGACCTAAACTTTTCCTCTTTTAAATGGGAATTTTAAATTTGGTTTTAAATTATTGGGGTTTTAAAATGGTTCAGCCAAATTTATTTAATTTGTTTTATCTCTATTTTAAATTTTGTATTTATATGTTTTATTTTATGGCTGTTCACCACCCTGAGTCCTTCGGGAGTAGGGCGGTATACAAATTTAATAAAATGAAATGAAATGAAAATGAAATGATCACCTGGTCATTCCCTCCTCTGGTGTCATCCATTTTTGACTCAATACAGCTATACTCTTAGCCATTTTTCTTTTGGAATACCTCTAATGGTAGAATAGAAGAGAATAACGTAGTTCAAAGGGACCTTAGAGGTAGTGGTGGGATTCAAATTTTTACTACCAGTTCTGTGGGCGTGGCATGGCTTGGTGGGCGTGGCATGGCTTGGTGGGCGTGGCTTGGTGGGCGTGGCAAGGGAAGGTTACTGCAAAATCCCCATTTCCTCCTGATCAGCTGGGAGGCAGAGAATAGATGGGGGCAGGGCCAGTCAGAGGTGGTATTTACCAGTTCTCTGAACTACTCAAAATTTCTGCTACCGGTTCTCCAGAACTGGTCAAGACCTGCTGAAACCCACCTCTGCTTGAGGTATTCTAGTCCAACCTCCTGCTTAGGTAGGAAACCCTACACCACTTCAGACAAATGGTTATCCAACATCTTCTTTAAAACTTCCAGTGTTGGAGCATCCACAACTTCTGGAGGCAAGTGGTTCCACTGGTTAATTGTTCTCACTATCACTTATAGTTCTAAGTTGCTTCTCTTCTTGATTAGTTTCCATCCACTGCTTCTTGTCCTGCCTTCAGTTGCTTTGGAGAATAGCTTGACTCCCTCTTCTTTATGGCAGTCTCCTGCCATTCTTTCTGGTCATATTACAAGAGAGTTCTAATGTAGTAACTGTGAGAGGGATCTTAGTGTCCTAGTGGACAATCACTTAAATATGAGCCAGCAGTGTGTTGCAGCTGCCAAAAACTTTTCTTTTGGAATACCTCCTACCTACCATTCTCTTTTGTCACTGTTAAAAAGTGTTCAAGGATCAAGCCCAATAACTCCATCACACGAGTATTCATTTAGTTAAAGGTCTTTATTCATAACATGTCTCCTCCTTACAGATGTTGGACTGGAACTGGCTCTGGACCGCATGGCTGGACCTTAAGTACCTGTGGGGCGGAGCTAAGGGAAGGAGGGGTCAATGGGTAAGGGTGGACCCTGGGAATTAATCTCATCAGCTCCCTGCCCCCTGGCATGGGCATGAGGTCAGGTATTTATATGTGACAGTCACATCTGTCTCCCCAAAGGTAATGGGTCTAAGAAGATATCTAGGAGTTCTTCATAAATGTTGGGAAGAGCTTCTATGTCTAATGCCATGGGAGTTTGGATTAGGTATGCCGGATGCCAAGAAGTATGGCGAATCTATGGCTAGTATGGCTAGGGTATGGCTAGTCTAGCGAAAAGAAGGACTAAGGGTGACATGATAGCAGTATTTCAATATTTGGGGGCTGCCAGAAAGAACAAGGGGTCAACTTATTTTCCAGAGTACCTGAAGGCAGGACAAGAAACAATGGGTGGAAATCAATCAAGGAGAGAAGCAACCTGGAATTAAGGAGAAACTTCCTGACACTGAGGACAATGAACCAATGGAACAACCCCCAAGATCCCTTCCAGGTGCAGTGGTGTTACATGGCCCATTCTTGGGCTACCAAGAACTGCCTGCATCAATGCTCTCTGCACTATCTGTGTGCTAATGCGAATATTGGGTTTTTTTCTCCCTAGAGATTCATGACCAAGTAAGGAGAGTGACAACAATAAGGAGGGCTCTTTGTATATTGCTAGGCATGAGAAGACATGTCCATACAAGCCCAAGGCAGGGACAAGATAACAAGACCCAAGCAAGTCTGACTCTTTATTTATTTACACCTAATCGACAGAATCTTACCAAACTAAAGTTGTAAATTTCTTACCTACATCTTGACAGATTCTAGGGTGTGACTACCATGAACCTCCTCCTCATCCAGTTTGGGATTGCACGGTCTCTAAAACTGGACTTCTTTGTGGGAAAACTTTGTGTTGCCAAAAGCCTCCCCCACTGCTCCTACAGGTGCATATTCCATCACCTTTTTGTGTAGTATTTGTTAAAATGTCTTCTTGTAATTTGTATGGGAAAGGGAGACTGGTTGAAGAGATTCTACCAAGGGATTGGTCAGATAAGACACAGCATAGTCTGCAAATAGATAGTGGACGAGACAAGAAAGTCAGAAGAGACAATCCCAAGCAGTGGTGGGATTCAAATAATTTAACAACCGGTTCTCTGCCCTAATGATTTCTTCCAACAACCAGTTCACCAAACTGCTCAAAAAGTTAACAACCGGTTCCCCCGAAGTGGTGCGAAATGGCTGAATCCCACCACTGATCCCAAGTCTCTTGGGGTATAAAAAGGATGGGAAGAATTGTTTTTTCAGACCTGCCAGATTCTGGTAATGTAGCTTTACCAGAGGTGGGTTTCAGCAGATTCTGACCAGTTCTGGAGAACCGGTAGCGGAAATTTTGAGTAGTTCAGAGAACCGGTAGCGAGTAGTTCGGAGAACCAGCAAATACCACCTCTGACTGGCCCCACCCCCATCTATGCTCTGCCTCCCGAGTCCCAGCTGATCGGGAGGAAATGGGGATTTTGCAGTATCCTTCCCCTGGAGAGGGGAGGGAATGGGGATTTTGCAGTATCCTTCCCCTGGAGTTGGGAGGGAATGGAGATTTTGCAGTATCCTTCCCCTGGAGTGGGGAGGGAATGGAGATTTTATAGTATCCTTTCCCTGCCACGCCCACCAAGCCATGCTACACCCACCAAGCCACACCTACAGAACCGGTAGTAAAAAAATTTGAAACCACCACTGAGCTTTACAATAAGGTAGAATTAGTTCATCTAATTGTGTTCCTATCTGATCTACCAAGAAAGCCTGACACAATTTCCCCCCAATCATTCACAATTCAGAAGTCTTGTTTCTTCCCATATCTGCTAATTTGCAACACGAGTGCCGGTCTTTGCACATTCAGTCTTCATCTACTTGTTGTTGTTGTTGTTATTGTTGTTGTTCAGTCACTAAGTCGTGTCTGACTCTTCATGACCCCATGGAGCACAGCCACGCCAGGCCTGCCCATCCTCCACAGTCTCCAAGAGTCTGCCCAAACTCATTCTCACTACATTGATAACAATATCTAACCATCTCATCCTCTGCCACCTCCTTCTTTTGCCTTCAGTCTTTCCCAACATCAGGGTCTTTTCTAATGTGTCCTCTCTTCTCATTTGGTGGCTTCAGCTTCAGCTTCAGTATCTGTCCTTCCAAGGATAGAGTTATTTTATTTATTTTTTTATTTATTAGATTTCTATACCGCCCTACTCCCGAAGGACTCAGGGCGGTGCACAGCCAAACAATAAAAACACATACAATACAAAATTTAAAAAATAGAATAAAATCAAATTAAATAATTTTGGCCACGACAAATTTAAAACCCCACACTTTTAAAACCAATTTAAAATTGAATATATAAATACTAAAAGATATTTAAAATTTTAAAAATCTTTTATAAAAGAGGGGGAAAATTAGGCCAGGCCAGCCTGGTGAAATAGTAAGGTCTTTAAGGCGCGGCGGAAGGTGCGCAGATCCGGGATCCTAAGTATCTCTGGGGGGAGCTTGTTCCAGATAGTAGGTGCCCCCACAGAGAAGGCTCTCCCCCTGGGGGCCGCCAGTCGGCATTGTTTGGCTGACGGCACCCGGAGGAGCCCCTCTCTATGGGAGCGTACCGGCCGGTGGGAGGCTATTGGTGGTAGTAGGTTGATTTCCTTTAGGAATACATCTATTACTGACCCACACAAATCCTCATTAAACCATTGCAAAAACACCATGCAAATTTAATCTCCATCCCTGATAAAGTCCAACATCCCACAGAAATCTCCTTCTTTCTCTTCCAATAAAAGGAGCTGTGTTGGCCAAGCCCTCCATTGAATAGTCGAGTAGTGCTTGTGGTACTTTGCTGTTTCTCAATGAATAAAAACAAAATGCTATCCTTCATCATCACCACTGACCCATGTTAGACATGTTGGCACATTACTGTAGCAAGCTTCCTCTTGCTCTCCTTTCCGAAATATAAAAATAAAAATAAAAGAGAAGGCAGATATTTCCTCTTCAGTGCAGTGGTGAGAAATCCAATTTTTTTTACTACCGGCTTGGTGGGTGTGATGTGGCTTGGTGGGCATGGCAGGGGAAGGATACCGCAAAATCTCCATTCCCATCCCAGTCTGGGACCAGCCAGAGGTGGTACTTGCCAGTTCTCCGAACTACTCAAAATTTCCGCTACCGGTTCTCCAAACTGTTCAAATTTTCTGCGTCTGGTTCGCCAGAACCTGTCAGAACCTGCTGGATTTCACCCCTCCTTCAATCCCCTACTTATGATTAGAATCAATTCTTGCTTAACTTAAAGAACCCACCGAGTTACTTCATGATCCCAACAAACCTCAATCAACTTGATTGTTCTCCATTGACGTTGCCGCTTTCGCCATTTCACTGGGCAAGTTCTTATTACTCTACTTTGTGTGGGATTTGGTGATCACTCATGTCTTCCATTCCACCCACCGGAGGGAATTGCTCCAAAACATCCTACAGGGGAGCCACGCTCCAATAACTATAAAATTCAGTGCATTCACTTGTTGGCTTCAGGACAACACTGGAGTCACTCTTCAGATACCATGGCTGCTGCTCTTGTTGTCTTCTTCTGCCTCATCTCCTCGGTCTTATTGACAGGTGGTGAGTATTGCTATTCAACATTGAGATTCTAGAGAGTTGGTAAAGGGAGGTTTCTTACATGGATAAAGACACATGGATAGACAGACATCTTCATCTCTCTGTGTCAACTCACCAAGCATTCCTGACCTGCTTTCGAGTTGCCATAGGCAGGGGGATAGGGAATCGAGCCTCACAGCTACAGCGAGGAACAAAGCCCATTCCAGCCAGCAAATGTCAAGGCCATCTCCATGGAGACCCACAGTGGCCGGAGGGAGGGACTTCTACAACCCACAAAATTGCTTTGTTGGGGAATGTGACTGATGACACACCTTGGAGGGAGGGGAAAACAGGGTCAGAGCTAAGGCACGAATTAACTGAGGTCAGAGTTGGACACAGCACCAGCTCCTAATTCAATGTTTTCAACCAAAACACTAAAACGAATGTCATAGATTATAAACCTACCTAACCCTTCCTCATAGTCTCAGGATACTCTGTATTGGTTCTTAATATGCTGGCACCCATTCAGCGTGTTTAGAAGGCCGATCTCAATCAATAATAAAAAGAAGGGTTTGGGAGAGAATCTCATCTGAAGAACTGAATGAAAGATCATGTTTCCTATTTAAAAGCTGAGCTAATTTCTGATACCCTTATTTTTCAATCTCTAACCTTCTAAGATTCAAATGTTTGGTAGAAATGTTTTAGGAGACACACCTAGAAAAAAATGTTATGAACAGAACAGAACAGAACAGTACAGAACAGAACAGAACAGAACAGAACAGAACAGAACAGAACAGAATAGAATAGAATAGAATAGAATAGAATAGAATAGAATAGAATAGAATTCTTTATTGGCCAAGTGTGATTGGACACACAAGGAATTTGTCTTGGTGCATACGCTCTTATTGTACATAAAAGAAATGATACGTTCATCACGAATCATAAGGTACAACACTTAATGATAGTCATAGGTTACAAATAAGCAATCAGGAAACAATATCAATATAAATCGTAAGGATACCAGCAACAAAGTTACAGTCATATAGTCATAAGTGGAAGGAGATGGGTGGTGGGAACTATGAGAAGATTAATAGTAGTGCAGACTTAGTGAATAGTTTGGCAGTGTTGAGGGAATTATTTGTTTAGCAGAGTGATGGTGTTCGGGGAAAAACTGTTCTTGTCTCGTCTACCGTGTTTCCTGAAAATAAGACCCTGTCTTTTTTTTTTTTTTTTTTCTGAACCCTGAAATAAGCACTTAGTCTTATTGCCATGCACTCAAAAACCCAATTGGGCTTATTATCAGGGGATGTCTTATTTTGGGAGAAACAGGGTAGTTAATTTGGAAGTCTAAAAAGGGGTTTTAAATAACTGTTGCATAACTTGGTTGGCTCACTACATGTATAACCATTTTGCTTCTCTCCTCTGCAGTCACATCTCTAAAATGCCAGACCTGTTTGGCCACTAGAGGAGAATGTAGAAACGAGGACATGGCATTGACAGAGTGTGATCCAGACCAAACACATTGCCTTTCCTTGAGTTCCTTTATTTGTCTGAGTGAGTGAAATGTCTTTTCAGTTTAGCTGACAAGTCCATATTACCATCACTCAGTATCTCAAGCATCAAGGAATAGATCAGTTTCCTTGAAGGTGGATTTCACCATTGACTTCAATGTATTCTGCCAATTTCAGTGGGTTATATTTACTAGAAATGTTCTGTTGGCAAAAAATATTGTTTTCTGTTGCTCTGTCGTACATGGAAAACACAGGGAGAAAAGTGGTAAGAGAACGAAAGGGATGCAGTGTTCATTTAACTGTGCAGAATAGTTTCTAGAAGTTCACCTGTCAAAATTAATTCTTCCTCCTTCCCTGAAATAAATGGAGGAAACCATCTCCAATGGGGTAATTTTGTGCCTTGAAATGCCTGCTTCTGTGCTCTTTCTCCTATTAAGGAAAACCATATCATCTTCTCGACCAGTCAACATCTATTAATACAAGGGAATTCGAATAAAATATTTAATCGAGCAGGGTGCTTTTTAAACATTGCTTTATTTTGTTTTGTTTTTTCTAAATCCCAGCATTTCCTCTCTGTTACACAGCCACTCCTTCACTCAGATACACGGCTAAGTCTTGTGCAAGGGCTGAGGAATGTACTGATGGCTTTTACAGTATCACCTCCGCACAGGGAAAATATGCTCAAGTAAAATTTTTCTGTTGCCAGTCAGACGGTTGCAATAACCTGCCTCTTCTGTGTAAGTAACTCAACTCAATGTTTCTTTGCATAGCCTTAAATTTGGCAGTACTGTGGGCAGGGAGTGAGAAAGCCGGGAGAGCAAATTTGACCCAGTTTAAGGAGAAAGCAAGGAGATGCGGTGGCTCAGTGGCTAAGACGCTGAGCTTGTTGATCGAAAGGTTGGCAGTTCAGCGGTTCAAATCCCTAGTGCTGCGTAACGGGGGGAGCTCCCGTTACTTGTCCCAGCTTCTGCCAACCTAGCAGTTTGAAAGCACGTAAAAAAAAAATGCAACTAGAAAAATAGGGACCCACCTTTGGTGGGAAGGGAACAGTGCTCCGTGCGCCTTTGGTGTTTAGTCATGCCAGCCATATGACCACGGAGACGTCTTTGGACAGCACTGGCTCTTCGGCTTTCAAACAGAGATGAGCACCGCCCCCTAGAGTCAGGAACGACTAGCACATATGTGCAAGGGGAATCTTTACCTTTACCTTTTAAGGAGAAAGCAACAGCACCAACATACATGCCTCCAAAGAGATGTAAAGTCTCAATGGAGCAGCTAGCTTCAGGGAGTGAGAGGGTGAGGAATAACAGAATAACAGAGTTGGGAGGGACCTTGGAGGTCTTCTAGGCCAATCCCCTGCTCAAGCAGGAAACTCAATACCCGTGATGGCGAACCTATGGCACGCGTGCCACAGGTGGCAAGCATAGCCATATCAGTGGACATGCAGCTCAGCCTTGGTGCGCATACGTGCACCACCCAGCTGATTTTTGGGCCTTCAGGACCCACCAGAAGTAAGGAAACACGCTGTTTCCTGCCTCCGGAAGACCTGGGGGGGTGGGGAAGACCCGTTTTTCTTTCTCACTTGGCTCCAGATCCTCTCTATGAATCTGGGGAGGGCGAAAACAGCCTTCCCCACTCCTTCAGAGGCCTTCCCGAGGCCTGAAACAGCCCATTTCCCAACTCCCTGTGGGACAGGAAGTGACTTGTTTGCTGTTCCCCAGCCTCCAGAGACTCCTAGTGAGGCCCTGGAGGCTGGGAACAGTGGCGGGGAGGAGGGGGGTTGCACGCACATGCGCAGGGCTGGGCACATAGAATTATGGGTATGGGCATGCATGAGTAATCCTCCCCCGGCACCCTCCTGGCACACAATGGCAAAAAGGTTAGCCATCACTGCCCTATACCATTTCAGACAAATGGTTATCCAAACTCTTCTTTAAAAATGATGACTTAATGAAAGTTCATTAGTTGAGTGAGCCATTGTTGGGTCAACCACAGGTAGTCCTCAATTTACGGCCACAATTGAGCCCCAAATTTACATTGTTAAGTGAGAAATTTGTTACATGATCTTTGCCCCATTTTACGACTTATGTTACCACATTTGCTAAGTGAATCACTGCAGTTGTTGAATTAGTAACACGGCTGTTAAGTGAATCTGGCCTTCCCCATTGACTTTGCTTGTCAAAAGGTTGCAAAAGGGGACCACACGACCCCAGGACACAGCAACTGTCATAAAAGTGAGTCAGTTGCCAAGCATCCGAATGAAAATCATGCAACCATGAGGATACCGCCGTGGTCATAAGGGGTGAAAAATGGTCAGAGGTCACTTTTTTCAGGGCCGTTGTAACTTCAAACGGTCACTAAATGAACCGTGGTAAGTCGAGGACTACCTGTATAAGATAAAAACAGCAGCTATGTGTCAGTGGAGAACATGGCAGTGAAGCAACCCAGGTTAAAATGGCTGCCTAGAGTTGCAGTCAACCACTGGAGGAGAAAGAAGAGCTTCAAACAATGGTGAGTTGTTACTGGTTCTCCCCGGTTTGGGTGAACTGTTAGCAGCCGCGGCAGGAGGCTCCGCCCACCCACCCAGATGCTTCTGCACATGTGCAGAAGCATCATGCGTGTGTGTGAGCGCACGCGCACCCACAACCGGTAGTGACGATTTTTGAAACCCACCCCTGGCTTCAATTGCTGAAGTTGCCAATCAGAGCTAGGATTGTCCTAAGGGGAAGTGAGCCCTACAGACTATTCTCTCAGAAGGGCTCATAAGGGGTCAAGAGGAGGGGGGAAACATCTATTCTGAAGGGGAGCTTCAGAACATGCGTCAGGGTGGATTTGTGATTGAGCAGATGGAATGAGGTGCCATCCTCATTCCTAGTTCAGCTCTACCTTCAGACTCTTGGATTCAAGATTACAAATCCTGTCCTGGTTGGGAATCCTAGAAGCCAGAATGCAAAAGGACTTGGGATTTAATATGGGACGGTGGCCATGAAAAAGTTTGCTAACCTTGGGTTGATTCCTACAGTGCCATTCCGTGATGAACTCAAACCCAATGGATTGGTATGTTTTGGATCGTACACAACACACAGAGATTCCCACCAGCCAACTCAGCCAATCCTCTGCCTTGGCCAAGAGACGCGTTGTGTCAACATGAATTTGACCATCAATACATGTGAGTGCAATCTTTTTGTTTTGTTTTTTCCCCCCTAAATCAGAGAAACGATAGAAAGAGAAGAAGAAAATCCAGGTAACCAAAAATAAATAATTAAAATCCGAAAAGTTTTTTTTTAAAAATTGATTTATATGCCACCCTTCTCCGGAGACTCAGGGCGGCTTACAATGCGTTAAGCAATAGCCTTCATACTTTTGTATATTTATACAAAGTCAGCTTATTGCCCCCACAATCTGGGTCCTCATTTTACCTACTTTAGAAAGGATGGAAGGCTGAGTCAACCTTGAGCCTGGTGAGATTTGAACTTGCAGTAATTGCAGGCAGCTGATGTTAATAACAGTGCTTTTAGTCTGCTGAGCTAAAGTTGGGGGAGGAGATTAAAAATTTGGGAGAGGGAGAGGCAGACTGACTGCAGGATGGCTCAAAAACATCGAAAGAGCATCCATTGCCGAGCTGCTGAAGTTAAAGGTCTAATTACAGTGATGGGAATCAAAGAATTTAACACCCAGTTCTCTGCCCTAATGACCGGCTGGGTGGGCGTGGCCATGGTGGGCGTGGCCAGGGGGTGTGACAGGCAGCATGTACAAAGGATTTTCCCAAAGAGTGGCTACGCTCAGGAGTTTGTCAAGAGGAAAACTATCTTTGTTTTCTAATATCCTCGGAATAACGTCTCAAGAGATTCTTATTCTTCCTTTTTTTTCCTCCACAGTTGGAGCTTTCAAAGAGGAGGGTTTCTTCCAAGGATGCGGAACCCCAAATGTATGTACCTATCCTGACGGAGAGATGCGAATGGCCAATGACCTTGTAGTATTCAGCACCACGAAGGAGTGTAACACTGTGCCATTATCACTTGACAACAGTTTTCTTTCCATGTAGTCAGATTATAGCCTTCTTCCTTTCTCTTTCAGGATGTATAAAAGTGAGAAGGAGGTTGGAGCTTCGGTAGTAAGAGTAACAGAGGTTTGGGGTTAAGCATTCTTGAGAGCTTGGTAGTAATTTAAAATATGGAGGAGCAGTCCTGAGAGGGTTGAAATGCTGTGTTTGGGTCTACTAGCAGCTGAGGGGAAGGTGGTTTTTCTCTAAACATTCCATTTTCACTAAATCATAATGACAATAAATTGTGGTGTTGAAAGCATTTGTGTCTGTGTATTTTCTTAAGGAGTGTTTGGACACCCGGGAGAAGACAGCTTTGATAAAGTGGTCATTCCCTCCTCTATGTCACCCATTCTTGACTCAATTCAGATTAACAGAGTTGGAAGGGACCTTATAGGTCAGTGATGGCTAACTTTTTTGCCATCACGTGCCAAAAATGGGGGGAGCATGGGAGGGGTCACGCACGTGCTGCCCACACCCATAATTCTATCCACCCCACAAAATGGAGGGAGCAGGGGGGGTCGTGCATGTGCGTACTCACACCCATAATTCTATATGCACGCACCCCCCTGTATCCCCCCCGCTTTTGGCACTCGATGGCACAGTGGGACTGGTAGGCCTGTTTTTTTGCCCTCCCCAGTCTCCAGAGACTTTCTAGGAGCCTGGGGAGGATGAAAACAACCTTCCCAACCCCCCACCCCACAGAGGCCCTCCGGAGGTCAGAAATGGCCCTTTTGCCACCTTCTGGTGGGCCCAGAAGACCTGAAAATCAGATGGCCACTGCACGCATGTGTGCCAGAGCTTGCGTGCCCACCGATATGGCTCCGCGTCCCATCTGTGGCACGCGTGCCATAAGTTCGCCATCATGGTTATAGGTCATCTAGTCCAACCCCCCACTCAAGCAGAAGACCCTACACCATTCCTGACAAATGGCAGTCCAATCTTTTCTTGAAAGCCTCAAGTGATGAGGCTCCCACAACTTTCAAAGGCAACTTCTGTTCCACTGGTTGATTGTTCTCACTGCCAGAAAGTTCCTCCTCATTTCTAGGTTGAATCTCTCCTTGGTCAGTTTCCATCCATTATTCCTTGACTGGCCTTCAGGTGCTTTGGAAAATAGCTTGACCCCCTCCTCTCTGTGGCAGCTATGCCCTTCGCCACTTTTCTTTTGGGATACTTCCTAGCGTTCTCTCTTGTCACATTGTAAGAGAGCTGTCATGTAGTAAGTGGGAGAGGGATCTTAGTGTCCTAGTGGGACGACCACTTAAATATGAGCCAGCAGAGTGCTGCAGCTGCCAAAAAAAGCCAATGCAGTCCAAGGCTGCAATAACAGAGGGATAGAATCAAGATCACATGAAGTGGTAGTACTGCTTTATAATGCCTTGTTAAGATCACACATAGAATAGTCAGTGCATCCAGTTTCGGTTGCTGCGATAGAAAAAAGACACCGAGACTCTAGAAAGAGTGCAGAGAAGAGCAACAAAGACGATTAGGGGACTAGAGGCTAAAAGATATTGTTGCAAGAATTGGGTATGTCTAGTCTAGTGAAAAGAAAGACGAAGGGGAGACATGAAAGCAGTGTTCCAATATCTCAGGGGCTGCCCCAAAGAAGAGGGAGTCAAGCTATTCTCCAAAGCACCTGAGGGCAGGACAAGAAGCAATGGGTGGAAACTAATCAAGGAGAGAAGCAACCTAGAACTCAGGAGAAACTTCCCGATAGGGAGAACAATTAACCTGTGGTATGACCTGCCTCCAAAAGTTATGGGTGATCCAACACTAGAGGTTTTTAAGAAGAAATTGGACAGTTGTTTGGAACGGTATAAGGTTGGACTAGAAGACATCCAATAATCCGTCCAACTCTGTTATTCTGTTATTCTGAGTTTAGGAAGATATCTGGGAGCACATCATAAATGTTGGGCAGGTTTCTGAGTCTAGTGGCCTGCAAGTTCAGGTCGAGTATCCCAGATGTCACGGAGTTTCATCCTTTTTGGCATTTCTTCTTTCAGCACCATCTAGGTTTGCCTCCATGGGCTTTTTTCTAGTTGGGAATTCTCTAAAACAGCAACATGATCTGTTCCGATTAATTATCAAACCCATGAATCATAACTTTAGTTTTTCTGCTTAATGAAAAAACAGATATTTAAGCAATTATAATATATGAATATAGATATAGACATTGATATTGTCTTTCCTCTGATGAAAAAAGACAATTTGGCCTTTTCAGCAAGTTCCATCATCTTCAGCAACCGTTCCTCCATTGTAGGCAGTGATGAATCCTTCCATATTTGTGCATACAATAATCTTCCCTGCAGTTCAAAATACTAAAAATATTCAAAATATTCAAAAACAAAGCTCCATGGCTTCAGCAATTGCTGGTGCCCATGTGTCTCTCAATTGCTGGTTTGAGTCTCTTTCTCTGCGTCTCTGTCTCTCTCTCTCTTTTCTATTTGTTGGGTCAAAAGGGATTTTAATTTATCTAATTAATGCATATCTTAAATAAGAATAGAAAGGAATATTGATGTTAAGGATGTCACGCAAGTAAAGGCATCCCAATGATATAGATACTGTTTCATTTAATGAGCTTTTTACATAGTGGTTTGAAAAGGCTTGGTTAAGATTGGAGTAGATTAATTGGTTTAAATAATTAAGCTTCCAACGATTTAGTTAAGGCTGCAATCATCATACTGAAGAACAAAAATATATATTGACGTAGGTTTTTTTTTTCTGATGATGTATGATTCCCATCTAAGGGGCACTCTTGTGTGCATGTGTGACAGTGTAATGGAATGCCTCTTGTAAGACAATGCCTGCCATCTTTCATTGTTTCTTCCATTTAAAAAAAAATCAACTCAAAATAAATGTGTCTGGAAATTATTATTTTTTTCCAAAAACAAATTAGCAAACTGTGTTCAGAAGTAAATATTGCTAAATCAAAGGGATCTATTTTCATATAAATGGGTATATGATGCAGAAGAATGAAGCATAGGGGTGAAATCCAGCAGATTCTGACAGGTTCTGGGGAACTGGTAGTGGAAATTTTGAGTAGTTCGGTGAACCGGCAAATACCACCTCTGCTGGTCCCAGAGTGGGGTGGGAATGGAGATTTTGCAGTATCCTTCCCTGGAGTGGGGTGGAAATGGAGATTTTGCAGTATCCTTCCCCTGCCCACCCACCAAGCCATGCATACCATGCCACACCACGCCCACCAAGCCACGCACACAGAACCGGTAATAAAAAAATTTGAATTTCACCACTGTTTGGAAGGGACTTTGGAGGGCCTTTGCCCATTCGCCACCACCCATTCGCTGCGGCCCATTTGTTGTGGCCTGTTCGCTGCGGCCATGGTCCGTTCAGCGCGGCCCTTTCGACAGGGCCCGTTCGCCGCCGCCTGTACCCCGTCACCGTTCGGTGTGGCCCATTCACTGCCGCCGATCCCCGCTGCCTGGAAACAGCCAAAAATGCAACATGTGGAGGCTAGAAATGCGATGTGCGGAGGCCGAAAACAGCCGAAGGGTGGGGGCTGGTGGGTGGGCGGGGCTTCGTCAACATTTGGTGTATAAGACGCACCACAATTTTTGACCCACTTTTAGGGGGAGAAAAAGTGCATCTTATAGTAAAAGTACAGTAACTTTTACAACACATATACCTTTCAAGGTCAAACTCATCTTTATTACTGCCTAAGCCCAACCACATTAACTCCTACAAACAAAACTTACCATTAATTAATGCCATCCTAATGATTTCTTCCAACAACCAGTTCACCAAACTGCTCAGAAAGTTAACAACCGGTTCCCCTGAAGTGGTGTGAACTGGCTGAATCCCACCACTGATCACAAGGCTCTTGGGGTATAAAAAGGATGGGAAGAATTGTATTTTCAGACCTGCCAGATTCTGGTAATGTAGCTTTACCAGAGGTGGGTTTCAGCAAATTCTGACCAGTTCTGGAGAACCGGTAGCAGAAATTTTGAGTAGTTCAGAGAACCGGTAGCGGTAGCGAGTAGTTCGGAGAACCAGCAAATACCACCTCTGACTGGCCCCACCCCCATCTATGCTCTGCCTCCCGAGTCCCAGCTGATCAGGAGGAAATGGGGATTTTGCAGTATCCTTCCCCTGGAATGGGGAGGGAATGGGGATTTTGCAGTATCCTTCCCCTGGAGTTGGGAGGGAATGGAGATTTTTTTTTAATTTGATTTATATGCCGCCCTTCTCCGGAGACTCAGGGCGGCTTACAATGCATTAAGCAATAGCCTTCATTCTTTTGTATATTTTATACAAAGTCAGCTTATTGCCCCCACAAACTGGGTCCTCATTTCACCTACCTTAGAAAGGATGGAAGGCTGAGTCAACCTTGAGCCTTGGAGAGATTCGAACCAGCAGAAATTGCAGGCAGCTGTGTTAATGACAGGGTGCACTAAACCACTGTACTATCAAGGCTCTTTTACATTTATATTTTGCAGTATCCTTCCCCTGGAGTGGGGAGGGAATGGAGATTTTATAGTATCCTTCCCCTGCCACGCCCACCAAGCCATGCCACACCCACCAAGCCACACCTAGAGAACCGGTAGTAAAAAATTTGAAACCCACCACTGAGCTTTACAATAAGGTAGAATTAATTCATCTAATTGTGTTCCTATCTGATCTACCAAGAAAGCCTGACACAATTTCCTCCCAATCATTCACAATTCAGAAGTCTTGTTTCTTCCCATATCTGCTAATTTGCCACATGAGTGCCGGTCTTTGCACATTCAGTCTTCATCTACTTGTTGGTTGTTGTTGTTATTGTTGTTGTTCAGTCACTAAGTCATGTCTGACTCTTCATGACCCCATGGAGCACAGCCACGCCAGGCCTGCCCATCCTCCATAGTCTCCAAGCGTCTGCCCAAACTCATTCTCACTACATTGATAACAATATCTAACCATCTCATCCTCTGCCACCTCCTTCTTTTGCCTTCAGTCTTTCCCAACATCAGGGTCTTTTCTAATGTGTCCTCTCTTCTCATTTGGTGGCTTCAGCTTCAGCTTCAGTATCTGTCCTTCCAAGGATAGGGTTGATTTCCTTTAGGAATACATCTATTACTGACCCACACAAATCCTCATTAAACCATTGCAAAAACACCATGCAAATTTAATCTCCATCCCTGATAAAGTCCAACATCCCACAGAAATCTCCTTCTTTCTCTTCCAATAAAAGGAGCTGTGTTGGCCAAGCCCTCCATTGAATAGTCGAGTAGTGGTTGTGGTACTTTGCTGTTTCT